TTCCCTTGATGTTACATGTGTCCGCTGTTTGTATCTAAGAGGAGAGCTGAACCCAATAATCATTGGAACATCTCCTGGCAGCCTGTTGGACTTTGCTACAAGGAAGTTGAAGAGTCTGCAAGTTGTACTTACTAGGACAGGCTTTGGATGCTGCTAGAGCTCTCCTCTTATCCTCAATGGCTGGCATCAACTCCACCAAATAGGCTTTGAATCAGTCTGCCATCTTTTTGGGCTTCTTGCCAAATGTGGACAAGGTGGTGTTATAAACTGTTCTTGAAATGTTCCCATCGTTCAGGTGCATTTGCATCAGACGGGCCTGGAAGGGTTTCCTCAAGCACATGGGCAAATTCCTCCACTTTTCTTTGATTGCGAGTCTTGTGGTCTTCCTTCCTTTTTCATGTGATACAATCTCTTTGCTTGCAGTTTTACTCTTCTACACACCAGGGAGTGATCAGTATCGCAGTCAGCTCTCTTGTAACTGCATGTGATCGTAATACTAGGAAGTCTAGAAGTCTAGTGAGGATCAATTCAAGCTGATGCCAATGTTTTGATCTTAGATGTCTCCAAGAAACTCTGTGTTGAAACTTTGTATTAAATGTGTCTAGCCTAGTTGAAGCAAAATGCATATTAATGTGTTAGTGTTGTTGAGTAGGCGAGTCAGGAATATATGCTGTGTTTATATAGGCTTCTGTAATAGCAGCTTCTGAAATAGCGGAGACAAATCTGTAATTCAGATCTCTAATGCTCTCTTTTGATACCTGTAGACAATGAAGTAGCAACATCCTCACCTATAGTGATTAGGATTACCATCTAGGCTATTCTAATAGACAATGACTGTTTATACACCCTACACATTGCTTCAGTTTTGCCCATTAGATCTGTTTAATTTGAAAGCTGGGTTACATGGTACTAGAAATATAACATCTCAATAGCAGCTTCTTCTAAGAAAAACTATTTGTGAGTGGCTATGGAAAGGTATATTTAACACTTCCTACATCTTGTTTTCTATACTCTGCCTCCACTACCCCACCCCAAGGTTCTAGATGTATATTTGGCTGGTTAAGCACCCATTCTTTCCTGCCATGTCTTTACTTGATGTTTTCTTTTCCCAGAAATACTTTTATGTTGAAGAAGCAGCAGATAAAAGTAAATGAGCTTTTTCTTAAGAATGCACACCTCAGAACTGCTCTTGCAATCTGTTAAGCAAAAGCAGAGCAAAGTGTGCTGCTTATACTGCCCCATAGCATTTAAAGCACTCTCTGGGCATCTTCCAATTTAATTATGCAAGATATACATTTTTATATAGGCTTCTGTAATAGCGGCTTCTGAAATAGCGGATACAAATCTGTAATTCAGATCTCTAATGTTCTCTCTTGATACCTGTAGACAATGAAGTAGCAACATCCTCACCTATAGTGATTAGGATTACCATCTAGGCTATTCTAATAGACAATGACTGTTTATACACCCTACACATTGCTTCAGTTTTGCCCATTAGATCTGTTTAATTTGAAAGCTGGGTTACATGGTACTAGAAATATAACATCTCAATAGCAGCTTCTTCTAAGAAAAACTATTTGTGAGTGGCTATGGAAAGGTATATTTAACACTTCCTACATCTTGTTTTCTATACTCTGCCTCCACTACCCCACCCCAAGGTTCTAGATGTATATTTGGCTGGTTAAGCACCCATTCTTTCCTGCCATGTCTTTACTTGATGTTTTCTTTTCCCAGAAATACTTTTATGTTGAAGAAGCAGCAGATAAAAGTAAATGAGCTTTTTCTTAAGAATGCACACCTCAGAACTGCTCTTGCAATCTGTTAAGCAAAAGCAGAGCAAAGTGTGCTGCTTATACTGCCCCATAGCATTTAAAGCACTCTCTGGGCATCTTCCAATTTAATTATGCAAGATATACATTGCCCCCCTCCCCCAGCAAACTGGGTACTCAATTTACTGACCTTGGAATTATGGAAGACTGAGTGAACCTGGAGCTAGCTACCTGGGATTGAACCTGGATCATGAGCAAAGTTTTGGCTGAAATGTTGCAGTTCAGTCATAAGAACAGCCCTGCTGGATCAGGCCAAGGGCCCATCTAGTCCAGCTTCTGGTATCTCACAGTGGCCCTACTAGATGCCTCTGGGAGCACACAAGACAACTAGATACCTGTCTCCTGATATCCCTCCCCTGCATCTGGCATTTGGAGGTACCTTCCTTCTAAGCTGGAGATTATAAATCCCCATCATGGCTTGTAACCTGCGATTGACTTTACCTCCAGGAATCTGTCCAATCCCCTTTTAAAGGCATCTAGGCCAGATGCCATCACCACTTCCTGTGGCAAGGAGTTCCACGACTAACAACACACTGGCTAAATAAATATTTTCTCACTCTCCCAGCACTCAATTGGAGTGGATGTCCCCTGGTTCTAGTATTGTGTGAGAGGGAAAAAGAGCTTCCCCCTATCCACTTGATCCATCCCCTGCATAATTTTATACGTCTCGATCATGTTTCCCCTCAGGCGCCTTTTCTCTAGACTAAAAAGCCCCAAATGCTGTAGCTTTCCTCATAAGGGAGGTGCCCCAGGCCAGTTATCATTTTAGTTGCTTTCTTCTGCACTTTTCCCCGTTCCACTATGTCTTTTTTGAGGTGCAGCGACCAGAACTGTACGCAATACTCCAGGTGCGGCCTTACCATCATTTTGTACAATGGGATTACAATGTTGGCTGTTTTATTTTCAATCTCCTTTTTAATGATACCTAGCATGAAATTGGCCTTCTTCACTGCCGTTGCAGACTGAGTTGACACTTTCATCGAGCTGTCCACTGGCGCACCAAGATCTCTTTCCTGATCTGTCATGAACAGCTCAGAACCCATTAGCTGATAAATCAAGTTTTGATTTTTTTTTGCCCCAATGTGCATTACTTTACATTTTCTTATACTGAAACATGTTTACCATTTTGCCACCTATTCTTCCAGTTTGGAGAGATCCTTCTAGAGCTCTTCACAACCACAGCACCGTGAGGCTCCTACAATAATTACAGCAATTTACTATGATTTTATCTTAAAGAATGTTATGCTTTTGAAACAGAATTCCTTATGATAATACTATAATGGTGGAATTTGACAGAGCTGCCTAAACAGAAGTTTCTTCACATTCAACAGGAAGGGAAATTAACTGCTTGATTGTTGTTCTTCAATTTAAACTATTTTCTTTTCCTGATACAAGTATTTTGGACTGTATTTAATCGCCATGTCAAATAAACAATATTCTATTCAGGGCTCTTTTGGGGTGGCAGTTACTCTACTACATTGATATACAGTATTAAGATGAAAACTTGTTTATTTCAGTATTAATTAAAGTAGGAAAGTTCACGAAAGCTCAGAATTGGAATATTGAGGTCCATAAAAAATAAGAGCTTTTGTACTGTTCAGTTACAGTTGCCCTTGACACATCCTTATACTTGGCCAATTAAAAGTTTTCAGTGTCAGAATCCCAGTCAATAGCAATAGTAGCATGAGCTGAAAAAACAAAGGGAAAAATAAGAGCTCATAAAATATGCCACAGATCAGAGGTTATTGGGATAATATTTAGAGAGAATACCTACGACTCAGTTTGAGTAGGCAATCTACTGGACTGTCTGCTGTGCTCAGTTTGTGGAGGTGCTGCATGTGTACACGACAAGGAAGTTTAGTTGGCCCATTTGGAGTTGTGACTGTGAGAACAGTATTCCTCATTTTCCTTTACTTGGCCTAAGTCTTACAGTCATCTGCCCTTTGTTTTCTTGCTTTCTTCTAGACAAAGAGAGGGAATCCAGGATTTCTTTTCTGCTTCCTCCTCATACTGAGATCTTGTATGCTTTAAACATCTCTAGTTGGGGACAGGGAGATAGTAAAACATGCTTCCTTACACCTAGGAACTTAAAAGTCAGTAGAACCTCCATATCCGCTGCAGTGGTATTTGTGATTTGTTATCTGTGGTTTACTGCAATATACAGTGGCCAACATCCTATCGGTTTTCATGTACAATTTGCATCAGCTAAGTGTGGGTAATTGATGAAGTGCCAGGGCATATCTCAGTTGCTTAGCCAGGCACCACATCAATTAGTTGCAGCAAGTTACAGAAACCTTATATGAATACCAACAGAATTCTTTCCATTATTTTATGTTCGAATGTATGAATAAAGACTTAAGTGAAATCCTTAAACTATGTTAGAGGTCTGGTTAGATAAGGACACTATCCTGTTTGAAGTTAATTATATGGTGAACAATCTATTACATGTGCAATTTCACTTTTAATCCTGCTTTACACGAAAGGAAATCCCCTAACCCATTCCACAAGTACAGTCTTCCACTTGCATAAGGAAGCTAGAGATCACTGGTAGTAAAACAGAGCATTAGGAACATGTATCCCACATGTTCTGCATTTGTAAATAATATGCTAGCCCATGTCTCTTTGTTGCTCTAAGTCTTTCTCGGTTTACCTGGCTTTTAACTGATGTTTGTGGGAGAAAAGCCTCTGCATAAGTTGCCGCGTTAGCATTGTTCACTCCTGTTCTTGCTCCTTAGAACACTGATCTTTTTCTTGAGTATGGAAAGACTTTGTATTCCTGTGATATTGGGTTGGGATTTAGAGCCTAGTGGTGATAAAAATAATAGATGCAATTTAAGTTTCTCTAAAAATATAATACATTTGTTACAGTAGATGATAAATAGTATTATTCTGCAGAGCATTTAATGTGGTCATGACAGCATTAGTTGTTCAAATGTGAATAGTTCTGTTTAGTTTGTAAGCCTTCTAGCAAGGTTGCCATTACTTTTAAGTCTTGTTAAGCTATATTTTACAGTGTCTGTCTAGAGAAGAAAAGAAGGGAAAAACTGTGTACTGAAACAGCATGCAAATGTATGAATATGATGTCACATGGGCAGAGAACATTGGTTGAATGGATTTGAGAACATTTGCTATCTGGAATGATTGAAACATCTCTCATTTTTCTCCCTGCAGATACGAAATTTGTAAATCAAGTGAGGATGGTGCTGAATGCATCACTCTTTCAGTTTATTTCAGAGAAAAGAAAGCCAGACAATCCAGTGCAACACCAGGGACTGTTCTTTTTGGCCAGCCACTACTTATGGCAGTTCCCAAACACAAGCTCACACTAGATCACTTGTACAATCTTATATTGGAGCGTATTAGGTAAGCATAAGCCTCATCTGTGCTATAACAATTTACTCATTCATAAATGCAGTCATGCTCATTTTTCTGATTATTCTGAAGAAACACAGTCTCTGTCACTACAGTTGTAGCTTGACCAAAATAATCTTTATATATTACCTATTAGCTATTTGTATCATCCACATCCAGGCTAGATGCACTACTTGTTTTTGTCTTCTAGATGCTATCATAGTTTTTGTGAAAACCTTACTTACACTGCAGTGTTCAATGTAGGTTTTTGTGGTGGACAGTAAAGCCATGTATAGGAAATGTGGTGCCTCAAACTTTCAGTCTCTGGTCTCAGAAAACTGGGGATTTGTGGGTGCTTCTAGTCCATACATATATGCTAAACGTTCAGAATACGCACATTTCTTTACTTTAACATTAATTCATTCATAAATAAAATTAGTAAAACAAGTGTTACAGTTCAGAATGGATAGAGAGCAAACAGATTTATTCCTGTAACATTGTAGATAATTCTCATTATTCATAACTGCTGGTTTGACTTGCTAATAAAAGACTACCTGTGGCAATGTTTAATAAAAAAATCTGTGAATTTTTTTCAGTCGCTATGTAAGACTTCCTGTGAAGGAGGATTATCCTGACATGTATTCAGATAGTGAGACTTGCAATGGCTCCACTAATGTGTCTGAAGGTAATTTTTCCTTCAGTGTTATTTAAAATCTGTGTTTAATATTGGTCTGCAGTTAGATTTGCCAGAGATACAGTGAATTGCTACTACTTATAGTCAGCAAGGAATATTTTGAAAAGAGGCTGTGAAAGTCCAGGCATGAATCCTCACGACATAACATTTGGGGGAGGGGGTTTATATATCATATTAGGCAGAATCCAATCACTGTTTATGCTGGCACAAGTGCAGTGGTGGAACTCATAGTAGGGAATAGCTGCTAATTCATGAGTTCCTAATTGAATTACTAGTTGTATGCTAAGTTAGCTGCCATGTGACCAGGATTTCAATCAGGGACTTAATAAATAGTGGCCTTTTGCCATTTCAAATTACATCATTACACTTATACCAGTATAAAATATTAATTTGGAATCTGGCCATTGTATACATTGTAAATTAAAACACTGCGATTTCTGCTTTGGATGCAGATTTCTTCTCTGTTCCCTGCCCCTGTTTTTAAAGTGATGCCTATGAGTTTTCAGGCATAGTATGTTGTAAAAGTTAGAGAGGGCTAATGACTGGTAACAAAAAGTTCAAAACAATATTTGGTATATAATCCAGGTGAAGTTGAAGAGATGGAACATCAAAATGGAGAAGCAGAAAGCAAGGAGAAAATGTCAGAAACTGCTGTCTGCCAATCAGAACACTGCACCCAGGATGATACAGGGAAAGAAGGCATACATCCCAGAAGACATCTCTTCAGTTTCAGTCTTGTGAATTCCTATGGAACATCAGAAATAAACTCCCTTACTACAGAGGGGAAAATTCTCAAACTGAGTTGTAGGTATTCTCTCTAAATATTATCCCAATAACCTCTGATCTGTGGCATATTTTATGAGCTCTTATTTTTCCCTTTGTTTTTTCAGCTCATGCTACTATTGCTATTGACTGGGATTCTGACACTCGGAAGTTGCTTTTTGATGAACATGAGGCACAGGTGATTTTCTGTTCCCCCTTTTAAAGCCAGTGCTGGGTGCTTGTCAGGCAGAACTCATAGCAGGGAGCCAGGCAAGATTATAAGGTTCCTTCATGAAACTGACATGCCTAAGATGCCTTCGTGCAAGCAGTAGGAGCCTCATCATTCTCCTTTGGTTGTTGCAGATTGTTTTATTAATTGATCAGTATTGTTGTATTAGTTACCATAGTCTCTTGAGATTAAAGGATGCCTACACACATTATTGTAAAGATGGAGATTGCCTGGGGAAGGCATGAGTTGCTTCTTCCTCATTTACAGTTTCAAATAAGTTCTTTCCTGATCTAGAAAAGAGAGGATTTTTCCTCATACGTTTCAGTTTTTAGCTTGCTTCTGTCATGATTATTTCCCTACAACAGGGTGGGCAACTTTCAATGCCACAGGACCTTGGAGGGCCACATATCCCTCTGCTGATCCCAGAAAACACACCTAAATGCAAATGGTGCCTCTCCCATAAACCAGTGTGGTGATTTCTTTTATATAGCCAATTTTCTCTTAGGTTTAGGCCTTAAAATGGCTTTTTAAAAGATAGGAAGTAACTGGCTGATCACTAGCCTCATGGTGCAGTGGTTGAACTGAGTGAAGACTCTGCTCATAATCTGAGTTCAATCCCAGCAGATTCAGGTAGCTAGCTCAAGGTTGATTCAGCCTTCCATCCTTCCGAGGTTGGTAAATTGAGTATCCAACTCACTGCAGGGGCAGTGTGTAGCCTGCATAATTAAACTGTGAACTACCCAGAGAATGCTTTTATCCAGCTCCCTATATATATATCTCCTACTTTTTTTAAAGTAAGACTTTAGAGTGCTACAAGTGGTGAATGTTATTTTATCACACTTGTGCTTAGGTGATCTGTTTCAGAGATAAATTATTAAATAGTTTGACTGTTGCTTATTTCAATAAATAGAGTTCAAATTAGGAGAGGAAACCTCTGGCCCACCAAAGATCCAAGTGCATCTTGTGTATTGCTAACCTTCCAAAATAATAAGTGCAAAACATGCAAGGGACTCTCTCTGTTATTGTTGGTCAATGATTGGAGATATTGGGGCATTCTCCGTACAGGAATTGGCACAGAGACAGGGAAATGGATATTAAGAAGAAATAAAGCTAGATGATGTGAGAAGGGTGTCTTTGGTATGGATTCCCTCCTGTGACATTATTCAGTCCCTCCCACTGGATCCCAGGATGAAGTTTGGCCCCAGAAATAATATTTTCCTGTTGCTACTTAAAACACGCAGTGCATACTTTTGGTTTCTTCCATTAGCACAGTGGTCCTCAACCTTTTCGGAACTACGGACCGGTTGGGGGGTGGGGGGCGAGGGCACCTCCACACTTGCGGGCGGACGTGGCATGTGCGCGAATGGACATGGCACACTTGCAGTGGGTATAGCACGCTTGTGCGGATGGGCATGGTGTGCTTGCATGCATGCACAGTTGGATGTGGCGCATTTGTGGGTGGGTGTGGCATGCGAGCGTGGGCCACTCACCTGTGAGTGCACCACACCCATCCATGCATACCCGTAAGCACACCACACTCACCCGTGCATGCACGCCATGCCCACCGTGTGTGGGGGGTGGGTGGGAGTTCTGTCTCCATGGCCTGATCCTGAGAAGCCCATGGTGGGCATGATGCAGCCTATGAGCAGCTCTGTCTCTCTCTCTCTCTCTCTCTCTCTTGCTAACTTTGAGATAAAGAAGGTGTCCTCGTAAATGGTGTACTGATTTTTAGAAGAAGATAGGAAGCCTTTCAAACTGGAGGGAAAAAACCATACACTCTTTGTTTTTGTTTTTTCTTTTGGTAGGCATTTGAAAAAAGCAGTACTGTGTTTCAGCCACAGAAGAAAAGTACTGTAGCACTTAGAGATTGCATAGAGCTCTTCACAACCATGGAAACGCTTGGTGAACACGATCCCTGGTAGGTTTGCTGTGGGTTCTGACAGTATTTGCATCTATAGTCTGAATTGTTTAAATAGTACTGGACTGTTACCTGCACATTTTACTCAGCAGGTTGTTTAGAAAATAAAGCTTGAAGGGCTGATTTAACATGCTTACTTTTGAGGTGGCTTCATTTCATATGGTGAAATTCATGTGAAAATAACTTCACTCATAAGATCAGTGCTTAGTCTATTCTGAAGAACATCTGGAGAAATCAATATGGTGTCTATGGAAACCTGTTATAGCTGTGTACTGTTGCATCAAGGACTGCCTTTGGAGCAGTGTCTCAGAACGCAGGGTTCCCCCAGCCTAAGATTATTAGAATATAATAATATAGCTTTGCCCCATTTAGTGCAGATTTGTTATAGCATATGTGGTCCAGCATCCATTTTGTGTTGTGCAGCCTGGGGTCCAGTCTACCTACTCCATGCCAGAGGAAGACTGGGCCTGAAGAAGACCTGGGGCCCTGTTTATCTGTTCCATGCCAGAAATAGACCTGGCTTCCAGAAGTCCTAGCATATGGCACAATGTTAAACTGCCCTGATTAGTAATGATTCAGTTAGCAGTTGCATTTTCTTATAAAGCAACTGAGCACTGAGCAGGATGTTACTGCATTTAACAGGGTGGGCATTCATAAACCAATGGGACTCAGTTCCTCTTGATCTCACTGAATCTTCTCTCCGGACCTAGTTTTATCACTTAGACTCATTTAAATCCTGTTTTTATACTTATTGGAATATATGTTTAGGGCAACCACCTACTCCTCCCTTGCTTCCTTTATTATACACCATAGCACTGGTATCTTTGCATCAGCAGACACTTCAGGAGGCCATTTGAACATGCAGTTCTCTTCCCCCGTCTAGAAAGAGAACACTGAAAATAGCCTTGGGAGTGGGAAATGGTATTGCATTTTGCATATTTACCCTGATACAATCTAACTGGGATTCCTTAGGAAACTATGTCCATGTTTCCTCTTCTTTTGACTGTGCATGGCTTCTTCAGTCAGTGCACAGTCAGACATTAAAATTGTATCTATACCCAACTTAGACGGTTGGGGATTTTGGGTGGTTCAGTCTAAAGTATACAGAGGTAACCTGGTTACCTTTGTGAGTTCTTTTTTCCAGTCTGCTATCCCTTGTGGGGCAGGTATAGCTGAAATTAAATCTGAAATATGAGAAGCTTTGTCCTCAGAACAAGAACCTGTATGTCAGAAAAGGCTAGTTATCCTTTTATATCCTTTTGTGTTCTTTCAGGTATTGCCCTAATTGCAAGAAACATCAGCAAGCCACTAAAAAATTTGATCTCTGGTCACTGCCACGTATTTTGGTAGTACATTTAAAACGCTTCTCATACAACAGATACTGGAGAGATAAACTTGATACTGTGGTTGAATTCCCTATCAGGTAAGATTTTTAGTTACGCTGGTGGTCATACGAATACAATCTCACTTCATTAACAGACGAATAAATAGAAGTGAAATGTGCTACACCGTTGAAAGCTAGTTAATATGGGGAATCTTGTTTATGGCCATCCAGGATTTGATTTGAATGTGACATAATTATTGACAATGTAAAAAAAGGCATCTGTTGATTGCTTTCTTTCCTGCCATAGAACAGGAACATCATCAAAGAATAAGTTGTTTATGGCAACCATTTCTGTGTATATGTGTGTTACGTGATCTCATATTGCTTCTGATTTATAATGACCGTAGAGTTTTGGAAGTATGAAATATTCAGAAGTGGTTTATCATTGCCTCCTTCTAGGCAATACTAATGTATGCTACATAAAGTGCTACTGGTCTTGTCTATAAAATATCCCCTTTGGTGTTACCTTCCATTACTGCCACTTCCTGCTGGTTATCCTTCAAGAGTTTTGCCATCTCTGTCACAATTGAAACTAATAGTTCTCTTCTGGTAGCATTTAATTCCTAAAGAAAAAGTTTCTGTAATAAACATTTCCACAGGCCATGTTTATTAGGCAGCAGTTCCACAAATCGTTCCCCTCATTTTAAGTGTGGCTGAGTTTCGTCGGCACTAATCGTTGCGTGCTACTTATATAGACACTATGTAATGCTGCAGTTTTTACACCCATTTCTCTCACACAGTCTCTCCTCCTCCACCATCCCCTTTCTGTCTCTCTGATACATAACACAACTGTCAGTCATCACAAAGAACCTTTTTTGGACAAAAGACTGTTCAAGGCAGACAACAGGACTCAAGCTTCCTCCTAAAGAAAACTCCACCATTTTGACCCGTTTTTGATCTGAAAATTGCCTGAGAAAGGAAGAGCATTTTCTCTGTGTACTGTTAGTGACTGGTATCCTGCCCTGGTTGCATGCAAAGTAGGGTCATGTGAGCAGATGTTTGCTTGGATGGGTGTACTAAAAATTGGATCAAAGGCATTATGGCTCAGAAGGTGTAATACTCCTTTTTCCTTCCTTTGCTGTTGGGTGCATAATGCCAGCCAGGCTCCCTGCAACCAAACACAACATGGCACAAAATAAGGTGTTCAGTTTAATCTTTCAACACTTTTGGTTTTCCACTTTGGAAGCAGCAACAACAAATGATCTATTTCTTAGAGCTGACACATCTAGAATCACAGAAAAAAAGTGCCAGCCTTTCTTACAGGTTTGATGCGCAACCTGTGGTTGCGGCTGCTGATCTTCCCTAATTTGTGTGGTTGGCAGGAAGTGAGTAGGCTGGCCAGTGAGCAGACCATTGTATCACAGCCATGCTGTCAGTTGGCTCTCCTATTATTTGTATCAAAGAAACACTTTCCAATTCCTCCTCTTCCAGGCCAGCTAGGAAGGGAAGGTGAGAGTCAGATCAAACACAATTGAAGAAAGTGAAGAATAGGGCAGTACTGTACTGATTAAATACTTGAGTCACTTTCTTTATCGGTCCAAAAGTCATGGGTCTGCAGGGCAGTTGAGGGAAGCTCAAAGCCATCCGTAAGGCTCGGGGAAGGGCATGACTAAGTGGACATTTCCACATGTCAGATAATTCCATCCACTTAAGAAAAGTACTCAGAGTGTCCTTCACATCCATCCACACCCTCAATTCCAGTAAAACACTGCAGTCAGTTTTGTGCTGCAATGCATTCAAAAATGTATTTGCAGAGAGAGTATTCCTGTAGATGCAATCATCACTGACTGTGAACATTGCCTTTGATTTGTAGCAGTCTTAGCAGTGGCTAATACATTCACCAGGAAATGATAATTATATCATGTAAAATACAGTACTTGTTCAGTGTACATGTATTTCCAGGAACATTTGAAAGATTATTACATTGTAATGAGATTGATTTTGTGAAACAGATTCTTAGATGAGAGTTAGCAGCTCCACAAAGAATATTTTGCCATTAAAACAGATGTGTTTTGAATATATTGCACTCCTTGTAGGCTCATAGACATATTTTCATTTACCTGAGGGCTCAGTGTCACTATGCAGTGCTGTCACACATTGACTTACTGGCATTTCCTTTCTTCTAGGGATTTGAATATGTCTGAATTTGTTTGTGATCCAGCAGCAGGCCCAAATGTGTATGATTTGATTGCTGTTTCCAATCACTATGGAGGCATGGGCGTTGGCCACTGTGAGTAACTACTCTCAGCCAGATCCATAATGTAGTCTGTACTTTCCTAAATGTGGTGAATAATTACTAATAATATTCAAAGAGAAGCTTTTTTTTGTCTTTATGAAATGGCATAAAGACAAAAAACTTGGAGACTTATCAGTAGAGACTGGAAATATCACATTGCTTTTAATTTGTTAGTATTAAATACGTCAGTTTTCCAACCACACAATCCCAAATTCTGCCAATGCACATAGTGTTATGAAAATAGCATTAATCAAGTAATACTTACACCAGTTCATATTGTTAAACATTGTTATTTCTTGGCATGCCTTTTGGTTAGGTGGCTGATTTAATTTGTTCTGTTTTATTTTATGATTTTATTGTAATTTCCTTTTATGATTTATTTGATGTTATTAGGTTGTTAACAACTCAAAATAGTGCTTTGCACTAATGGGGCAGTATATAAATAAAATAAAATAAAATTTTAAAATGTGTGATTACACACTCAAAAAAAATCCCAACATACCACTGATGAAGAGTTGCTTTAGAAGGAATTGTTCTGTCGTTGAGACCTCAAGTGTTCCAGACATACTGCTGGCAGAATCCCAAGGTCTGATCTTCTGGAAGCTTCGGCCCAACTTTGGGAGTGAGCCAATAACTCTTTAATCACTAAATCCTAAAGTAATTTTTCAAAGTTAAAATGGTACTCTGACAGTAAACTATCCATGGGAGACTGCAAACATTGGTCTTCCGTTGTGGTGACTGTTCTGTTTTAGGAAACTGGTCTTTGTGAAATAACTATGCATCGAGGGAGCTGAGATATTTGGAAGTGCTAAATCTCTCTGCTTTCTGTAAAGACATCTGTAGTGGTGTATGGAGGTCTATCTGATACTACATTAAATCCAAAATCTTGTTTTATAAATGATTCCTGTGCAGCAGTAATGATGACATCACTGGCACAGGGGAATTTTCAATAGTGAAAGAGTTCCTGCTTCTGTCACAGGGATGGCACAGCTCTCATGCAATGCGATTAATTAAAGACAAGTCATACAGGTTGAGGGACAGAAACAAGAACTCTTTAATTACTCAAAATCTCCCCATGCAAGTGGCACCATCACTTATTTATTTATTTACAAGACTTTTTAGCCGCACCATTATCAATGGTCTCTGAGCGGCATACAACAATATTAAAACTTTAGAAAAAGATTAAAACCATTAAAAATAGGCAATATTATAATAATTTTGTTGTTGTTTAGTCATTAAGTCGTGTCTGAATCTTTGTGACCCCATGGACCAGAAAATAATAATACCCTATATTAAAACAGTCAATTTATCATTAATAAATCCTGCTGCTTATATGGCCAGCTAAAGGATACTATTTAATTAAAATGCTGGCTAAACAGAAAGGTCTTTGCCTGGTGCCGAAAAGCCAAAAGTGTTGGATCCAGACGGATCTCTATAGGGAGGGCATTCCAAAGTTGGGGGGCAGTAGCCGAGAAGGTCCTATTTCGACATGCCCTCCCCTTCACCTCTTTCAGGGATGGGACCTTCAGAAGGACCTCCTGGCCTGATCTTAAGAGAACAGGCAGGCTTGTATGGAAGAAGGCAGTCCTTTATGTCAGGAGTCCCCAACCTCTCATCCACGGCCCAGTGCCGGTCTATAGGCTTCCTTGAACTGGGCCATGGACACAGATCTCCGCTCCCCCCACACACACACACAGTGGGTGTGTCGCACTCGCAGGTGGACACGTGAACGTGACATGCCCCTCCACGAGCATGACACAGCCCTCCGCAAGCACAACATGGCCACCCATGAGCACCACACACAGCCGTGAGCTTGGGGGCGCCCCCGCGCATGGAGCCTGCACCTCCCAACCAGTCTGCGGCCCCAAAAGTTGGGGACCGCTGCTTTAGGTAACCAGGCCCTAAGCCATTTAAGGCTTTATATGTCAAAGTCAGCACTTTGGATTGGGCCCGAGCAGCAACTGGCAGCCAGTGTAAATTTTTCAGAACCGGCATGATATGACTCCATGCAGCAAGCACCACTTACCAGCCGTGCAGCCCAAGTCTGTGCCAGTTGCAGTCAGCATAATTTACAAAACAGGGTTTTGGCTCATGGTTTTGTAGTGTGTGTCTAATTTTTTCTCTAAGAGTATACAGACAAGATCCGAATTCTAGGTCAAAGAGCAGTTTCCATCTTCACAGTTTTCAGACATACTGGTCAACATCCTGCTGCTTAGTGTAGTAAATTGCACTAGAATACACCCATTGAATCAATGGGCATTTAGTGAGTCACCTCTTCCATAAGTTCCATTAATTCAAATCTGCCTACTCTGATTTTGAGTTTAGTAGGTTATGTTACAGTTAAAGTAGACGTATTTGAATCAGAGGAACTTATGGAGAATTTGACTGTCTAAATCCCCATTAGTTCAATGGCACTGCTGTAGTGCAATTTATCATACTCAGCCACAGGATTTTGGTTGCTGGATCCTACTCAGTATTGTCTCCAGTGTAATAATAGGGTTTTTACTTTGTTTAGAAAAAAAGTGCTAGAATAGGGAAGACAATGTTTAAACAACAAAAAGAGCACTTAAAAAGGACCAGATGGCAAATGTGTTATTAGAGGTTAGCAGCTGAAGAAATCCTGTAAATCCCAGTGTTATTTTATTTATATTTTGGAACTAAGTTAATACTGCTAATTCAATGAGTTCCAGCATTCCAGCCTTTGACTATCAATACCTGCCAATATCATTCTATATCTCATGAAGAAGCATCATTTTCTTGCAGATACTGCATATGCTAAGAATAAAATCAACGGCAAATGGTATTACTTTGATGATAGTAGTGTGTCTCCAGCATCTGAAGACCAAATTGTGGTAAGTATTTATATTAAATATATTTGCGAAGGCTTTCACGGCCTGGATCTAATGGTTGTTCTGGGTTTTTCAGGCTCTTTGGCCATGTTCTGAAGGTTGTTCTTCCTAACGTTTCGCCAATCTCTGTGGCCGGCATCTTCAGAGGACAGCAACCTGTGCTCTGGTGTAGTTGGCTTGGGAGTGCAGTATTTATGGCTGTGAGATAGGCTTTTGTCTTTTTCTGTAGATGGGTGATTAGTGTGTATTGTTGTGGGTGTATTGTTGTGCTAAGGAGAACACGGCCAAAGAGCCCGAAAAACCCAGAACAACTATTTATTTTAAACTTAAAGGATATCCTGTAAATTCTGGAATTAATGTCTGTAGCTAGTAAATCAGCAAAGCAGAATGGCAAGGGAACAATGGACTTGTAGATATTGCTCCCAACATGATGAACTCCATATACTTGGAATCCATAAAGAAGATGGGGCTAGGTGATAGTTTTGTTAGGCTTGATCTTCTTTCTGTTTGCATCTGTAATTTTTAAAAATGTGTGATGACTTATCTTTCTGCAGAAACTGTAGCTGATCTATTCCAAACAGTAATGCGAAGCGCCTGCAAACTGTTATCTATCTCTGCAGATCTGTTGATCTCAGAGTAGTCTGTAGTTGATTTTCATGTTGGCATATTGACTGCAAATTTTATATCTGTATTCTTGGTCTGTAGGAAGGAACTACCCAGGAATGTGTTCATCCCTTCCTAGGCTCAGGCCCAGGTCAAAGGAATGGACTTTAGAGAGCTTAACACATAAATGCTGTACAATTCATAGATATTTTAAACGTTGCAGAATTAGAACCTTATAGATTTATTTATAGAGCTATGCTATTGATATTGAGCCGCTTGCAGAAAAAAATAGGCTGCCAGGTAACATTGTTTTCTGGGTGATTTACAGGCATAAAATAGTGGGAGGGGCAGTACTCTTTAAAATGCAGCAGAGTTGTTGACAAAGCAAAAGAGAACGAAAGGCCTTCTTGATCGCCTAAGCTTCATTTCGTTTGGTATGGGCCTCTCAAGACATCAGCATATGTGGAGAAAAAATTTCAAATATCCTGCTTCGTTTAACAGTCAAACCCCCACATAGAATGGGACTTGGAAACCTGGCAGAGATTTCTCTAATTATCCGGCTTTTCTGTTTTTATCCTTTTCTTGCAGACAAAAGCAGCATATGTATTATTCTACCAGCGCAGGGATGACAAGCTCAAGATAAATCCATCTCACTGCGCAAGCACTGAGGTGAAATCAGAAGAATGTGATGGCATGGATACTAACTGAGCCTATTCAAATAGTCAAACTGCTAATTTGAAAATGCATCTGAGAACTGATTTTGTTCCCTGTAAGACCCAAACAAGAAGTCCAGTGTGGGAGTGTTTAGTGAGCAATAACAAAGGAGAGCACAAGGGGGGGAGCTATAAGATGACAGCACTTGGGCATATCATAGCCAAAGAGCTTTTAAATGAATTATATTTTAGCCATTCAATAAAGTGTTTTTAAAATCTGATATTGTATTCTAAGCAGAAGCTGTAGGACCAGGAACTATGCTATACATTTGGAGCTATGAAGGAATGGAAGCTTCTGATGATTTGGAAGAGGAAATTAAAAAATTGGGCTGTAAATATACTAGAGTTGAAGAGAAATGAGAGTTTTGTGCACAAGGTATGAGGTGACTGGGGTAGCTCAGAAGCATGAGCTTCAAGCTTGTATAGCACATGATGCCATCAGACTACAGTTTAGCCCTTACTAACAGGACATAGTAACTGTGTGTGCCTTAAAAAGTGTTACCTGGCCCCTACAGGAGTCTGCTATCCAATCTGTAGGACACTTCTTGAAAACCCCAGATTATCTCATTCTGTGCTAAAGAGTGAAATGCAATGATACCTGTCTTTCCTGCAGCAGTATTCACATGGATTGTCCTTGACATCCTCTGGGGATTTTGTTTTCTGAATATTTCTTCAACAGCCCACATCTTTTTAGCCAGGTTCACATGTTAACTTATGTATTGTGCAGTGGGAAGCCATGTACTGATTCTAATTCATGTTCCCATTGGTATTCTTGGAAGGTGAGCCCTTGTTTCTCTTCAGTGACTGTAAAGTTTCAGAATCATCAAGAAAGGTTCAGAGCCATTTCTGTCATGAAAACTGCAAAGAAATTGATGGCTAGTGACTTGTCTCCTTGCAGATATTCTTCAACTTAGTATTTTTCTTTCCACCCAAATAATTTTAATTTCCCTATATAATAAATCTCCTTCTGCTGCTCTCTTAACCTCATTTTAGGCACTTTCTGCATTTCTTAAGAGATGGCAAAAGGAATGTTCCTTCTGGTCTCCTTATTCTGCACTACTTCAGGCAAGTGATGGCCCCTGGCATAGCCAGGCAACATCATTTGAACTGAATTTATTAAAAGTGATTTTGTGTTCTCTAACACTTAGTGGAAGAATCCTCATTGCTGTCAGTTGCATTGTCTTCACTGACGGCCTCCTGATGATTAATGTATAGTTCTGCAGAATAGTCGTAAAAGCACTGAAATTGATTTGTTTGGTTTCGTTACTGTTGCTTCCAGATTTCTCTTGAGTAGGTTTACCTCATCTGGATCTTTTTTTTTCCTTGTGCACTTGGGATAAAGGGTGGGTAAGGGCTGAAATTATTTAAAGGCTAAGTTCAAAGTATAGCACTGCCTTGTTTTCATTTGCTCTTTTCCTGGGTTATGTTTTCTTTAGAAGTGTAACATTTGGACAGATAAGGAAGCAACTAATTTAAAAGTGAAGAGCAGTTTAATGTAACCATATCTATTTTTGCTGCATAGTAAAGCAGGAATTTCTTCCTTGCTGTCAGTAAGGTCAAAGTACACATCTGTTTTTGGGTGATTTTGGACTCTGGAATGAAAATTTCTTCTAAATGCTCTAAGTATTATATTAGGACCTGGATTTGCTTCTGACCAGGCTGGATCCTAGCTGGTGTGTACATTCTGTATAATGTCAAAATCTGTTTTTAGAATAGCACTTTGTAAGTGACAGGCTTTACTGTATAAAGGAAAAAAATTAAAAGAGTGGATTGCACTAAGTGTGTGCTGGCCTTTCAACTGTTTCTGCATGACGGATGGGAAATTAGAGGCTGCCTCCATTGCATACATAGTATTGCCTGTGTTGTTGCAGCTATATCTTTCCCAGAGAAGCCTGTGCTGAAATGTAGCAGTAGCCTGCAATCTTGTGGATTTAATGGTCTATTAAGGCTATAGTTTTCACATGTTTACACCAGGCCCTTGTTACTACACTGCATAAGCCAGAAGGATATATACTTTATATATTTATACATTGAATCAGCGGAACTTACTGAGACATTGACTTAACAAATCTCCATGAATTCAGTAGCCCTACTCTAGTGCAATGTGCTACACAAAGCAACAGGATTTTGATCAATATATGAGTAATGTTAAGGCCACCTTTTCTGGATGGGAAAAGCTAGTAAAACACTGTCCTGCCTACTCAGGCCTGCAGAGGAAGTGGTGGAATAACTTGTTGCTCTGTCAGAACTCACTCAATTCCTCCCTCCAGATTAGAGGTGTGACTGTACAGTGGGAAAAGTACAAATGGATCCATTGTGAGTCAAGTTTCCCCAGGTTAATTCATTTCAGCCAGCCACACAGGTGTCAGCAGAGGGAGGAGAGGAAATTGGTACTCAGCCTGATTTGTAGTTTAACCATTTTAACCCTCTCCTCCCCACACCTGGTGGCTGGGTCTGCTTGTTTTCCTCTTCCCTTCCTGCTGTTTCTTTTTCTATCTTTCTTTCTTTCTTTTAAAGGCCTGCCACCTTAGCACTATGATAGCAAGCTGACCAAAGAGAGGGAGTGGGGCACAGTTAGAGCAGATATGCAGGAGGCACAGTTAGAGCAGAGCTGTGTTAATAAACCGGAAACAAGGCTGACTGATGATTTCTTCTGTCCAGCTCTACATTTCTGATTCTGTGATTCCTCCTTTAATTCTCTGCCCACTCTTAGATCCCAACTCCCCTTTGGTCAGCTGACCTAGTTTGGGGACAGCAAGCCTTTGAAAGAAAGAAACGGGGGTCAGGAAAATGAAAACAAGCCGTTCTAGGTTTAGAGGGCAGAGGATACAAAAGGCAGGTATCCCCACTGCCTTGCCTCTCTTACTGGTGCTGTACCCAGCTGGAATAGGTTCAAATAGAATGGCTACAAACCCCTCCACATTGACTCAAGAAATCACAGTGCCTGAACTGATGCAAATGATTTGGATTCCAAAAAAGTAGAAACACCAGCAGTGGAGGGGGGGACTATGGATTGGAGTTTGGGAGAACTCTGTGGTGGTTCACATTGATCATTATGTCCTGTAGTCAATGGAAAATAATGTGAATCTGTTGCAGGTCCAGAGCATTTCTCACACTATTTGCCAATATAGTTGCCCCCTCAAACTCCCGGCTAACATTTCCTTAGAATTACTTCTAGACAACAATTCAGAGTTTCTGCAGTGCGTTCAGAATTGATCATGGAACTGAGAAGTGCAGGGTTGGGATTTTCGCAGCATAGTGTGAACTTTCTGATCATTCCTCCCATTGATTTTATATAGATGTTAAACAGGAAAAGATTAAAAATAAACTTTATATAGTCTACCATATGGTGAGGTTCATACTATAGTATGACACAAATATTCCTTAACACCTTTATCATGTTCTTTAGGACATGTCTTCATACCAGAATGATACATCTCTGGCCCTTGGAATTAACTACAGTGCCCATCACTCTTGATCACCAATTGGGTTGTCTGGGGCTGACTCCAGCAATATCTGGAGGACCACACATTCCCTAGGATGTTTCTCTGCATAGCTGCACTGTATATCTCCATGTTCAGGGAATAAGCATTCTGTAATATGCAAAATATTTCAGGCAAATTGTTTCCTGACTCCACTGATCTGGCAGAAATTACATGAAAACTAGCATGTTTCCCAGCTACACAGGACCACAGTGTGCATAATTTCAAATCCTTTATTTAGTGTAGTAGAATGCTGTCATTCAGCATTTGTGAAGCAACAGATACAAGATCAGAGCTTTTCTACAAACAGATTCATTCAGGAAGAAAACAAAATGACAATGTTGTGGTTTAATTGAGGTCTTAAGAGAGAGGCAAGAAATGCTGATGCCAAGGAAGCTGAACAATGGATTGAAGGAGACTGAAATGGGAAGAAGCAGCTCCCCGTCAGCCAACAGCTATGAACAACTTTGTGTAGTTTTTGCAAATGGAATTGAAGTTGAAGTATAGCCACCAGTCTGATTTGCAACTAGATTTCCTAGAAATCTGCTTTGCAGGGATTGTGGTTACACAGCTCCTGTCTTTCGTGGCCTGTGTTCCACCTTCCATTCTCATCACTTGTAGGTTGTCCTAGAAAGAAGGGACCTGATCGCTTTCGTTTTTCCCATGCCAGCAGTTCCTAATTCAAAGCAGAGGCAATGCCCTGCATCCATTTTACTGGCCACCCTCCTGTTCTCAGTTGTTTAGCTCTTCCGTGTCTAACCTGTTCCAAGCAATATTTTGCTGCCTCCTCATCTCCTCCTGCTCAGTTGTGATTATCACTTTCCTCCCTTAAGAAGGCAGTAAAATAAAGGAGGCACATGATTACTTGCAAACAAGTGGATATAGGACGAAGTAGAGCTCTGTCTTTTCTCATTCTGCAAGGCCTGAGTTGATAAACTTGCAGTGTACAAATGTTAAATTGCCATTGGTCCCAGCTGCCATTATTGGCATTTTAGAACAAGAATAGGTGGAGAACCACAGGAGTTCCACAACCCTGCTGCAAGTGGTCTCTAGATGTTTCTGGCCACAAGCCATGGGCAATTACCAGTCATAAACTGACTGAGTTGACTGAGGTGAGGTCAAAAAGCATCAGGTGAAATACACTTAGTATGGTTTCTGACACTTGTGCTATAAACCGATAAACATATATTTAGCAAGGAATTTCTACATCCTCAGTTTGCCCATAAGATGGGTCCTTGCTTACTGTCTTCTGCTTTACCTGACCATGGTCAGGAGCCACACACAAAGAAGATTCTCCAGCATTTATAGAATGCACGCAAAGCAAAGAAATCAAGGAGAGAGAAGAATCTTCCATCATGAGTCTATATGTCCCCTCTTTTCCGTTCCCATAAATGCTCGTCTATATTTTCTGGATTTGCCGTGTCGTTGCATCTGATATCTCTCCCAGAATGACAGGATGAGCTAGGAATAAATGAAAATGGGAAATGTAAGCATTTAAAGTAAAAGTCTAGTTAGAGCAAGCTGAAACAGAATATGCAGCTGAACAGAGAATTAACATACTGACAGAGTTCAGGAAAACCAAGAATTCCAGGAGAACTGGACTGGAAAGTGAAGAGTTGTCCTCTCCAGAAAAAAAAGTGTAAAAATATTTGCAGAAATTCTGGAGGGAGAAGAATAAATATTTAAATGCATATGCTGAATATATTGTGCATAGTATTGTACCTTAATTAGCAATATCTTTATAGATACTGATAATGTTTATTAAATCCTTGAGCTTGTTTGGAGGTTGTAGTGGGGGAAGCACAAATATCCTATACCCTTGACCAAAGATCATGATACTCCTTGGATGGCCCGCCTCATCCACCAAACATACAGCTTTGGGAGGGAAGCACATGGAGTGGTGAGGGAGGCAGGGGACACCTGCCTAGCCAGCCAGATCAGCTGAATCAGTGGGGTGACAGATGTCACAGCCAAATCACCCACACAGCCATATTGTTAATTGAATTCTAGGAGGTAGTAGGAAAAATCTGGAGTGTCGATATTATCTATAAAAGTGATAGGTTAGCCATCTGAAATTGAAATGGAACTCACATAGATTGTGAAGCCATTCATCAGCCGAGCAACAAAATCAATCATGTAGGAAGGATATTCAGACTTGCAATACATTCTATACATAGTTTACATTGAACTTAGTGACCTTTCCCGGAATGCATACCTAGCCTTATAGCCTACAGAAATGGGAACACAAGGTCTAGTCCTTTGATCACTCAAGCTTACCCTGGTGAATGTGGTACAGCTGTTAGGAATTATCTAGAAAAAAAGAGAAGTAGAATTTTGAGGAGCAGTCAGAGCCCCAGATCTAATTGGTTGTCCTAGGTAGTTTAGTCCCATTGAATCAATTAAACTTACATAACTTGATTCACCATCCAGCAACTGATCAAATAGGTCTACTCTAGTTAGGACTACCAATTGAATTTAGGCCAACTGCTTTTCAGCTGGAGTCTTTCAGCTGGTATTCATCCATTTGTCTGTTTTATAGAGTTGTTGAATGATTGTTAACATATTTGAGATGCTTATATTTATTTACTTTTTTGTTTATTCTTTTTGTAATAAAAGCACCATCACTGAGTTGTAAAAGACTGAAAACGGATGCTTCTTTCCTTATTTCAAAATGAGGTGACTCTTTATTGCTGAAATACCAGATACACACTCTTTTTCATACACAAACCTGCACTTTACCTTTGACTTGATCACCCTTCCCATCATTTTTTTCATAATTATTTTAAACAGAAGAGGATTGTTTTGAGTAGTGGGATTTTTGAATATCTTTGGGTACCTAATAATTTAGCATACTTTCCCTTTCAAACATATATTTATAATTTTGTTCCAAAGGATGTTCCCCCACATTATTGTCCATGATAATTATTACCTTCCAAGAATCTTTATCTGTTATCACCTTACGTAGGCTTTGAACTTGAGCAGATTTCAGATTATTCATATAGAATACAGAAGACCAGATAAGTGAGTTACTCTGAATCTTTTTTGTTGTTGTTAAAATTTATTTATTAATAAAGATGACTGAGTCTTAGTTTGCGCAAGAAAAGAATTAGACACTGGAATATGCTTATATTAATATAAATTTGAATTTTGCACCAAATGCCATGGCATGTTCCAGCAAGAAAAGAACTGTAGTTTTCCTCTATTTAAAGGTGTTTATAGAAGTAATAGAAAAGGACACAGCTTTCATCTAGTTCTCAGCGTCAGCTCCTCTGAGTTGAAATAATAAAGTAAAAGGAGGGGCCGACTGAATGTTTCCTCACTGTGAAATGTAAATGAAGTTAATGGAAGGCAAGGACAGGGAAAGCTACGGTTTGCTGCCAGGGAAGAGGCAGATGAGAGACAAGATGGTGACAATGTGATTTAAGTGCTGGATGCGAAATCCCAGACCGGACAAGACTGAGATGGAAATGGATGGTGGTTCCAAGCACAGATATTGGTGGCTCACTCCAGCATTTTCTACTATGCCCCCCTCCTCACTTGGTTCACAAGCCACTTAAGGTTAGAGGTTTTCTACTTAAAGGTCTTTTAAGGCCCATTTAACTCTTCCTCATTTATTGTTATGCACTGTCAAGTCACCTCTGATTTATGGTGATCCTATGAATGAATGACCTCCAAAAGGTCCTGTCCTCCACTGCCCAGCTCAGCTCTTACAAACTCAAGCCTGCGGGTTTTTTTTTAAGGAAGTCAGTCCATCTCATATTTGGTCTTCCTCTTTTCCTGCTGCCTTCCACCTTTCCCAGCATTATTGTTTTTTTTTTCCCCCAGACAATCCTGCCTTCTCATAATGTGCCCAAAACAGGATGGCCTCAGTGTCAACCTTTTTGCCTTCCAGAGATAGTTCAGGCTTGATTTGATCTAGGTTGAATAAAAGGCACAGGGTCGCGACTGCCATCTTACAGGGAGAAGGTTCTAGCACAGATCAAGGTTCCGTGACAGTTGAAGCAGGGAGAGGAGGGGCAATCCCACCTGGTCAAATAGGAGCCACCCGATGACTTCCATGCTGAACAAGACAGGCTCTTACTGTCTTGGGGTGATTACCGTTTCATTCTGCTCTTTGTCTGGGAACTGGGACTTCAAAGTAAACGGGTAAGTTTCCTTTTGATCTTGAGGAGGGGGTCCCATGCTCGGCTTACAAGGATCACTTACTTTAGATAGTGTTCACTCATATGAACCCGAGGAGGATAATTGAAGTGTTTCTAGGGCATCACAGTAAGACACACAAATTATCATTTTGGCAGCTGTATGTGTAGAACAAGACGACTCATGGCTGTTGTCTAGAGCAATTCACTGGAATTGGTGGCCCTCATCTCATGCAGTATGAACAGATGGGAGGGCAAAGAGATTGTCAGCCCTCAGGCAAGATTAATGTAAAACAAACTTGCCCCCTCCACATAGTTTGTACTTCAAGTCCCAGAAGCCTCCGTCAGTGTGGCCAATGAATGATAAATGTTCATGGGATTTGTAATCTGAAGCTTCCAGAGGGGAAAGTGTTCCCAACTGAATTTAAAATTTACGTGGAAATAGTAATTTATGACATTAAATGTCAGTATTAAGTAAATCGCAAGTGAGCATATAGAAAAGATGCTAGGCTTTTTTTTAATAAACATTTTATTAGTTTTTCAATCTATCTACATTGTTTTGTGCTTGTCAAACATCGTGTTACATGTTTTGCTTACAATTATTTGTTTTTTACATCTCAGTGTCGTCCCGGTTATCCCCCCAAATTCCAAACATCTTTCAAACATTCAGACCATTCATATACAAATTTTAGTATATAATATGACTACTATCATAATATTTCATATTATATAAAATTCTCAAGGTGTTCTAATACCATTCTTATTGAAAGTGGTTCCAGATCCATGACCCAGCTTTATATCTAGTTTAGTTTACCGAAAATAAAAAACCACCATATTACATCTTTACCCTGATTAGGGCTCCCTTATGTCAATTGAGTTCTCCTTTTTAATATACAGAATATACCCTTTTACAGTTCCAGATGATAAATATAAACATGTTTTCAATATTAAGGGGCCCTTCCTTGTTTTCCCTTTTTTCATGAAAAGATGCTAGGCTTTTTATGTGTGTTACGTAGCAGTATGGTAACAGTTGCAAAGCCTGATTTTTTATTATGATTGGTATTAAATATTGTTACTATGGTTCTCTTGCTTTTCCTCAAAAGAGCTAAGGGGGCTTTATGTAGGGTTTTCTCTCTTTTATCATCCCAACAACTGCTAGGGTGGGAATAGCAGAGATAATAACTAGCTCAGGTTAATTCAGTAAACGTAACTGCTGAGCAGAGATGTAAACCATGACTCCCTAGTAAAAATCTATTCAAACTTCACTGGCAATAAGTTTTTAGGAAATCGGTGTCAAACTACAATGGGATTTTGGATAGCCTTGAAGAAAATAAAAGTTATTTCATGCTTGGTACAACAGCCCTGTGGAAGCTTTATGGCCTGGCTCTGTGTTATTTGCAAAAACTCATGGTTCTGTGTGGGGGGGGAAACAGTAGTTACATATTTCTGAATTTCTATGCTAAATTAACAGTCAGTAACAGATAACGCGCTAGAAATCTTGCATAGTCTAAATACAGCAGGAATAGGTGACTGTATTCATTGCCTTGGAAGGTTCTGGCAACTTAATAAAAAATTTACCTAGCTTATAAACTAACTAAAGCTATTTATTTGCTGAAGTACTCAACCTGTTGAACAGACAGGCACTTCCCTCTTTTAGGTGAGATGTCAGACAAGCTAAGCAGATGCCGTAAGGAGCTCGCTGCAGCTATTGATCGAGCAATGGAAGATCTATCTATACCTTCTCCAGATTCCACTGTTGACGAGGATTTGCCCTCAACATCATCTAATGAAGATCTCTTAAATGACAAGGGAGAAACTACCCCTCTCAATTCATGTTACCCTCATCCATCTGTACCAGACTCTCCTGCTCCTGAAAAAGAGAATCCTCTCCTCAAGCCAAATCTCATTCCAGAGACCGTGGTCTCCAGTATTCCATGTACAAAGCGGGAACCACTGACGAGCAAGGAAAACACGTTGTGGCACCCCCCAGTCTTTGTGGCTGACAGTCATTTTTTTATCAGCTTGGAAGACAATGAGAGGAAAAAAGACCATTTAAGGTACATTTTGCATGGGAGCTGGTATTTCTCCTCTGTTATTAATAGCACCTTGATAGCACCTGCAGTTCCATTTTGATGGTGATTTGGCATGGATTTGAGACAGGTTGACATTTGGCACAGTATTCAAATGTCCTGGATGAAGATTGAACTTAATCTCCCACTCACCATCCACCTCCCCATTCTTCTACCTATCGACTGCAGCTTCTTGCAACTGTAAGAACTATCTTGCACCAGGCCTTTCTCTTTCCAGATCCTCCATAACAGAGATGTGAGGAGCCTCCAGCCTTGTGACCATATCCACCCCTCCTCCAACATTCAGGGTTTCCCAGAGTGCCTGTCCCTTCCCCATCTTATGATTGTTTCGTGGCTTCCAAGCTTTTGCATGGGGTTCTTTCCCATTCTGAAAGACGGAAATGCCTCTGCTAAGACTTAATTAATGACAGTGAGAATTTAAAGCAGAAATTTGCCCGTATGTTTGGCTCAACTTTTTTTTCTTTCTTTCCCCACACCAACCGTTAGAATAGACCTCTAAGAAATGTTGGGTAGCTAAATCTGATCTGGGACTGAAAGATATTTCCCATCCTTACTGTACAAGAAGCTCCTTGATGCTGGCATTGGCTGAACCTCAGGGCATGACTGTGTTAGGGCAAGGTGCTTAATTGACTTAGGGTGAAAATACAGCCACATTCAGCAGGCAGAACCCTTTTCCTGTCCCTCTCTACCCATTGTGCTGCTATACACAAAATGTTCTGAAGCCCATGCCCGTAATACTCTGAGGCAGAGAATTTGTAGTAAATGGTAGACTTAGGACACAGTCCTATATTAATGATGTTAACTTCCAGGTAAGTATGTGTGAGACTGTAGCATTTGTCTATTAAATGTTGTGTAACTGGGGAGCAAAGAAGAGTCTTTTGCCTTGAGTAAAGACACTCACTTGGTGATCTTTTCTTGCAGGTGGGAACGAAAACAGTTTGCAAAGTTATGGCAGACAGTACTCCTGCCTATGGGAGTGTGAGAGTAGTTCTCAAATTCCCATGTATGTTACTCACGTTGCTATTTTCCTTACTTTCAGGCAACTTGAGCAATCACTAAGGGCTACTCATCGGGAATAATATTTAACCAGCACTGGTGCAAGACAAGTGCTTTATATAGTAATTTAGGAGAATTTTATAGGTGTTTCATTTTTACATGACAACAGATCAACTACACTGTCTTGAATATGTAAACCACAAATTAGAAAACCATGGCATCAACTGTTCATGTATGGAGATACTGTAATCCAAATTTGAGTACATAGTGGATGACATTTGTTCAAAATGTTTCTTGTATGGGAATTGGTTTTGAACTGAGTAATTAATAGTGAAAAATAATTTGTGTTCAGCAAAACTGATGACAGGTCCATGAAGTCAGAAACAAACATAACTGCCAGTGATGCTTCTCCAGAGAATCTGAAATATCTTGCTGATGAGAGCGGTAAGTCATGCTGCTTGCCCCACTGTGTGTGCTTGGTTCTTTTAAAAATGTATTTGGGGGAGAGAAGTTGGGCCTAAGGAAGCATCTGAAGCTGCATATTATTTTTAACACGGGGGGGAAGTAGCCATGGTCTTTTTCTGCTACCTGGAAATGTCTTACTTGATTGATTGATACTATTTTTATGTAGATTTTAAATAACAGCTCTTAGAATGAATGGAAGATGTATGGTGGCAAGTAGTTCCAACAGAAGGTCATGGTTTGAAAAGGACAGATGGCCACCCATGCCCTTTCTTGAGAGGTATGGCCTCAGCACTTGGGAGACAAGTTATGTATGTCTAGGAGGGTGCTGCAAACCCCATTTGGAGAACATATAGCCCTCCAAGTTTTGATGGACCACAATTCCCATCCACCTTAGCAAGCCATTCTGGGAGATGGGTGCTACAGTCCTAACATCTGGAGGGCCATGTTCCCTTTCCTTGCCTCTATGCCATGGTAGCCATCTTAGCAGTCATTACTCAGAATACCTTAATTCCATCACACTTTGGTTGGGTACTTCTCTTCATTTATTCTTGAATTATCTTCGTTTATTCTACAGATACATTGAATGATTCCTACCCTTATTTGAAATAGGACTGGAACTATTAGAACAGACCTGAGGGTAGTGAGCTTTTCCTCCCTATAGCTGGGGAGAAAGGTCAATAGTTATGTGTGAGCCCCATAAAATGTTGCAGGCTTTTTGGATTAACATAGTGTAAATTTTGCACATAATCTGATTGGTGCAGTTGGGGTTGCTTACATTGAAGATCATCATTAACAAACTTTTACCAGCTGCTACAGATATTTGGAAGGACTAATAAGCTGTATTGCTGTTACACAGAAGATTATCCAGTTCTTTGGCCGGCAGAAATGACGCAACAGAAGTCTATTCTTGAGAATGAACTACACGAATTGTCTCAGCTCTCAAGTATCCAGTTTTCTTTAGAGGAGTCATCATTCCTGGATCTGGATGTGAGTAATTTCAGAAAGGTTTTGGAGCACAGCCCAGAGGATGAAGCTATTATTGAAACCCTGCTGGATATGGAAGAGGAATACAAACCGAACAGCTCCAACTTGCACCAGCTGTACTAAACAAGTTGGTGTAAGATGTGAGCTATCTTAAATTTCTGATTCAATACTAACACTTTTGAACCATGGAACATTCACCTAACAATTCTATTGCAAAATGCATTATTAAACTAATTCATTTTATAAGACTGTGTCAAATTCTGGGTGTTTTTCTCACAGAACAGTGAATCCTATATAGATTTGTCTGAGGAAAAATGAATTTATCTTTTGAGACACAATTTTTCCATAATGTGATTTAGATGGCCTGAGATATCACACCAATGCTAGAGCCACGGATTCCCATAAAACATATGTCAAACAATGGAGGTTTATCTCCTATACTATGGAGTGGAGCCCATAAAAGATGATTTTACCTTAAAAACTACTTATGCATGAACATTCATGAGGTTTAGGCACAATAGTCAGAGGTATTTTGGAACCAGACAGCCTGGAATCTCTTAGGTCCTTGTGTCCCACAATCCCAGATACAAGAGTTGAAAGGAGCAGTGTGGTTTAAGCGTTTTTGGTACAGGAAGTTTGACATGCATGCAACTTGACTTCAGACACAAAAACTGATTGTAATGAGTTAGGAGAAAACAGCTATATGAATGCGTATTTTTTCTGGATGTATTGCTATAACATTCTTTTCAAATGTAAATTAATTAGGAATAGATTAGACACTAAATTATCTAGTCTCCTCCTTGGTTTACATGTGTTTGCTATTACTATGGTTGTGACTTTATGGTTGTATCTGTAACCACAGAAGAAAATAATTTGAATATTGTCAAACACTTGATGCTTAAGATACTTGGAGAGGCAGAGGCCCCCTCACCCCAGGGAATAGACCAGCTGTAGAACAAGGATAGTAGGTACACTAAATAGATACAGCAGATCCAGAGGGTCAAAACGGGCATTCCCACAATGTTTTAATTGTGGTTTCTTGGTGTGCTTTGCAAGGAGATGGGACATAAGGAAAGCATTATTTTGTTGACCTGTTTCCTCTGAAATAGCAACTTAAGTTCTGTTACAACTAGAGCATGTTCAATGATGATAACACTGGTTAAGATGCAAGAAGCTGCAAGCTCTGTTATTTATATTTGTGATGGGGAACTTGGAACCCCTGGTTTAATTTATGCCACACTTGGAGAAGTTGAATATCATAGACCTGTCCAATGCTGTAAATTCTACTAATTTTTGCTCTGCCTGCCATTAATTGGGAACGCTGATTGGCTTTCCCCAAAAGCCAGAAACACCTAATAGGAAAAATGTCCCCGCTCCCAGAACTACAGAAAGGCCATTTTTTTTGTATTTTCAAAGTTAATTTATAAGAGAAATAGTTTGTAGGGGCAGCACGAGCCACTAAAAATACACATTCAAAACTGAAGTTAACATAACTACTCAGTGAATATTCAAAATAGTAGAGGTTGCTACTTTCTTCCACCTGCTTGCTAAAAAGTATGATCGGATATAAATATGTTTACAGTTGAATTGCTTTATGCATTATATATTAAAAAAGTGAATACACCATCACTTCTAAAGAGCATCCCGAGTTTATTTATCATGATCAGGGAACAGACAATTAGATGTACCCATCTCCCAGAACTCCAGAGACATGACAATAGAAAAAAATACTTCTGTTGCTATTCACACCTTTGCAGAGGTGGCTTTTGCTGTCTTTAGGGAGGAATCAATTCTGCTGAGAGTCAAATTGTAGTGCTGCGTAGGAAGGTTCCTACTGTGCAAACCCAGAGTGCACAAAAGTTAAAACTCAGTAGAAGTGAGGTACTTGTCTTATAAGCCAAAAACATGCAAACCACCTGATGCTTACTAATGTAAATTGACCCACTAATATACGCTTTATCTTCATAATGCAAAGTGGGGATGGGCAACCATGACCCCTAGCCAGCACAGCTTGTCATGAAGGACTGAAGTCCAACAGGGCTGTATCTTGCCTGTCCTTACCATATAGTTAAAACAAAAACCAGAAGCTACCATCATTTATCCTAAACACAGGTGCCTTGCAGCTCTGGGGGAGATCTAGACACCAAGATGTTCCTCTGGGCCTCACCTGGCAAGATGCAGGTGTGTAGATCACCTGAGCCTCTTTCCGCTAGGGCAGTGGTGGAGACATTCAAGTCCGTATGCAGCTCCCAGCCTCAGAGAGCCTTCCACAAAGGCCTGGAAAGGCCCATTACCACTTATCCCTCAGCCACACTATTAGGACCTACTGCCTCAATGTGCTTAGGGAATGTGACAGCAGCAGTTGCTGAAGGACCATACCATTCTTTCAATGAGCTGAGCAGTGGGGAATGGAAGAATTTAAATCCACATGTTCCATAACCCTGCTCCCATTCACCCCACTCTTGTACTGCTTAGCAAACTGAGAAAAGAGCTAAGGCACTGCAGTGGCCTGCTACTCGGTCCCCTTCTTGCTTACTCAGTCCCCTGCTTGCCAAGAGTCATTCCTGATCTGCTGTCTTGTCACCTGCTGGCATGTAGACTTAAGAGGCTTTCACTGGGACAATGTGAAGCAAAGAAGGCTCCTCATCCCTGCCCTAAAGTCACCAGCTGTTGTGACTAAAGCTGGACCAATAGTCAGTTTCTTGACAAATACCTGGTCTTTCTATTTGCTCTGTCAATTATCTCATGCATAACAGAAGCCTATAAAATGCAGTCCAATATGTTACTCTAAAAACATAGTACTTCATATTCTGATCAACTTCAGAATACTGCCTTAGTAGCTTCCTACCTTTGAGCCAAACCCCTATTGCTTAGTGTAGTAAATCACACTTGAGTAAGTCCATGGTAATTTAGGGAGGCAACTCCTCTGCAGGTTCTATTGATTCAAATGGGCCTACTCTAACTGCAGCTTAATATGCTGAAGTAAGTCACAGTTAGAATTGGCTCCCATTTGACTCAATGGGACTTATGGAGGAGCTGACTCACCAAATCCCCATTGATTCTAGTGCAACTTATTAACTTAAGCTACAGGGTTTTGGCCAGTGTGTTCCTTTAGTGTCACAATATGACACTGACACACAACCAGTCTCTGCTTTTGGTTGAGAAGTAAGCAAGATTGTTTTATTCAATCAGCCTAGTTCTAGCATTATGAAGTTCAGGAATGTGCATTGTTTTGTGATTATATGCACAATTCTCCAAAAAGCAACAGAATACAATTCACAAAGTATCTCAGATCACATGTACAGTGAGACTTTAGCTGCTCGTACCTTAAGGGAGCAATAAAGTTAAGGCCTCAAGCCTGTCTTCCATTAACTAGGAACAATCACTTAATAAAAAAAGGATTTCTTCCTGGCTCTAGTTCATATTTTACTAATATTCCAATGTCTTCAGTGGAAGACAGTACATATGGATCAACAGACTGATGTGAGCTGGTGTTGAAGGATATCAGCTATCTATTTTTGATATAAGAATCAGACTTCAGTTATTGGCAAAGCAGGCCAGAGTCTTAATCAATGGCATTTCAAGGAGAAGGCCAGAGAACAACGGGCTGAAGAAAAATCTTGGATCAATCTGTCTTCACAAGATCCTGCCTGCTGGTGTACAGGTGGGTGGGGGGATTTAACTGTTTGAACCACTAGATGGCAACAAGTACAGAGAATGATATCTCAAAGCTCCTTGCATTTCAATTCAAGTATTTGGGGTCTACTAATCTTTTCCAAATGGCACAGCTGTGCCCTAGCACGAAAGAGATCTCAAGGCTAATTCCCACACCAATATTTTGAGAAATATTAAAACTCTGAACAAGTCTTAGAGTAATTCTAGAATCACAATAGTCTAACTTTAAAAACTGGCATGAACTCATTGTCAATTTCAAATTTTCCTAAACTTTCAAATGCTTCTTCCAATAAGTTTGGTTAATAACTACAAGTTTTAGTCGATTACTCTCACCCATCTGTAGCTGTGTTATATCAGAAGTCCAATTTGACTCAAAAAATGAAGCAAAACTCTCACCTGCAGCTACACAGCTCACAGAAATTTTGATCTGTTTATTCTGGCCATCAAGAAAAATACAAGGTAGATATTAAACATAATTTAATGCCAATCACATGAAGAAACTCAGAACATGGATGTCTGCAGCTCTTCCTTAAACATGCCTTCAAAACGGAGGTCTTTAGCCATGAGTTCTTCTTCAACATCTTCTAGTGCCCACTGATGGTCAGTCAGTTCTAGAGCCTCCCATTCTGTCTGCAGTCACAAAGAGTATAGACGTAGTCAGAAGTGCATCAACTATTTATTTTCTCATTTGAAAGGCCATCTTGTTTAATATTTTGCCCTGATTTATTAAGGGTGGACTGGACTTTGACTTTTACATGAGAACACTGAAGTTTGTAAATCACGTGAGCATTCTCAATTGGAGTAACTCGAACACAGAATGCAACAAGACTACTGAAATCAATCTTGACAGGCATGTTTATATTGGGAGAGAAAAATCCATGGTCAGGAATTCTCTGACCTACCAAACAGCATATTGTGTACTAAAGTGCCCTAGGTATTTAATATTTTATTCTGAACACATACCTTTTCTTTTAATTCAGAATTTCACAAAAGCAGAGTGAAAAGCTTACAAAGCTACTTAAAAGAGTTTTTAAAACTCTGCAAAGAAAAGACTTAACAGTTTGTATCGTGTTTTACAGAAGTAGTTATGTTCAGGAAACAGAAAACAGTGAAGTGACTATATAAAAGCTATGAATTTCCTGATCTGCATATTTCAACTTTGTTCACAACATAAATATCTTCTTTGGAGAAGTCACAGTCAAACGCTATTTCATATGAGATGTACTGTAGTGCTAAATATCTCCTACAAATAATTTCTTCTATTTTGCTATAGTTACTGTATTTTCACAATGTAACTGAATGGCTAAAATCCTGCTGTGTTACTTATACTTGTGGAAAGGTGATGATGTCACTGGTGAGGAGGTGATTTCCAGTAATCAAAGACTTAGTCCTTCCATCCCATGTGATCCATGGTAGTTGGAAAAGCCATGGAATAGAAGCAGGTTTTTTTATTATGGAAAATCACCCCCTGCCAACAGTGACATCATTCTTCTGCAGACTTAAGTTATGCAATAGGATTTCAGTGACTAAGAATATGGCAAAATTACTTTTTGGGGGCTACAGCTCTCAGAGTCCCTCCTACCAACGTGGCTACCAACCATAATGCTTGGGGATTCCAGTGCAAAAATAAAGTTCCCTATTTCTCAATAGACAACTAACATGGAATATATTTTAATACAGTAGTGGGAAACTTTTTTTTTTGTCTTGAGGGATTTATTACCTCAGAAATAATCTCTTGGTGTTTGTATGCACCTGTCTTTTGATCACAATCCCCCTTTTTTCCTTCCCTGCCTCCCTCAGAGGAACAGATCACCTGAACCAGAAGTCTGAACTGCTCTCTGCAGGAAATCACCGTATTTTTCTGTGTATAAGATGATACTTTTGTCTAAAAATATTTAGATTAAAAATTGAGGATAGTCTCAGACACAGAAGTGAAGGGGGAAAACACTTTTCTCGCAAGAAAGTGGAGGGGAAAGCAGGAATCATCAAAATACTTTGATTCCTGCATCCCCCTCCACTTTCCTTGCCAGAAAGTGGAGGGGGAAAGCATGAAGCAAAGCACTTTGATCTTTGCCTTCCCCCCTCCACTTTCTTGTGAAGAAAGAAATTTTGGGTTAGAAAAGTGGGGGGGGGGTCTTATACACGAGGGCATCTTATACACGGAAAAATATGGTAGATTACAGAACTACTCTGTTTTCATGCACTGGGTTTTGATCTATTTTGCTTATTCTACTTTCCTCACAAAGAAACCCACCCTATTACTGTTAACTATGGAGAATATTCAAACAAACACTGAACACTTAGTTATCACAAGTCAATCTGTGTCCAGATTTTATCATGCCTGACTGTAGGCAGGAAATCACGTGACTGTTTCTCTATATCAAAAATGGTTTGTACTGTTCTTTCTGACACACGTTTCATGTCCAGTGGATCCCCCCGTCCTGGAGAAGCAGGCTGCTGTATGAACCTTCAACTCGAGTCTGCACTGACGAAGACTGTTATCCCTAACTGCTGTTCTGTACCAAGAACTTAAGACCTCCCTCCATGAATCAACCATTACTGATCCTCTCACTGACTACTTTCTGAAAGACCTGCTATAACAATCCCTTCATACTTTGAAATTCTCACTCTCAAACTGAGGTTTTCAGTTTCACTATTCTGAGTTAGAATTCTTCAGCACACATTCCTGACACATGGTTACTATGAAGATACATTTGCTTTTGAAGTAACTGCATATTTCAAGAAATGGATGCAATACTGCATGAAATTTCAATAATTCATTTTTGTAAATGGACCAGAAGCTTCTTACCTTGAATGCTTTATTAGTATCTGCAGGCATGGCCATGGCTGCTCCTGTCATCTGCTCCTGCATTACTCTGGACTGGTCTGCAGCTGCAAATGTATGAGAGACTTTTGTTAGTTTCCAGAAGTTGATGGTTGATACAATACCTTGCTCAGCAGATAAACAGTACAATCTCCCTGCACCCACAAATTCTGCAAATTAATTCGAAACACAAAGTATGTGATAGATAGATAGAGAGATAGATAGATAGGCAGACAGACAGACAGACACAAATAAAACATCGAAATATATAAATATACAGAGGTATACAAAAATTTTGGGATCAAATGCAAATACTCGGTTCTGAGGTGAACAACAACAACATCAAAACATCTCCCCTAAAGCAATTCCAGAATTTCTAGCAAACCATGCTCTAACTATAGAGGCTCATCCGCTTTTAGGGTCCTTTTTCTAATGCCCATTGCAACCCTATGTGTAAGAATGGGATTGGAGTCAGACAGCAGCACATGCATAGACTGTTGCTCTATATACAACCGGGAAATTGGCCAATCAGAGGGGAAACAAGTTGGTCATGTACATTCTTGTAAAATGTGCACCGCAACAAGACGAGTTCAGTTGTTTCTATCTGCTCCATTCCACATGGGCAAAGGTGCTCTGCCCAGGGGATCTTTTTACACTGTCCCTCCTGCACTGCTGAAGGTAGTGTGTTAAGCCGGGCCAGAGTAAATTCCCTTCTATGCCTGGGCTGCTCCAACTGGGCAAAATAAGGTGCTGCTGTGACCTTGTATAAATTGTCCTCCCTAAGTAGAATTCTGGGGCACTGCTTAAATCATTTTGTCTCTCAATGTCCTCAATACACTGCTTGATTATTTTCTTTGCCTGTTCCATTCCCATGGTTAACAGAGTCAACCTAGAGAGACGCAAAAAGGCTATTTTTAGCTCAATTAACTGAACCCATTTTGACTTTATGGTGTCTTGCTATAACCAAACATCCACCATATCAGATACTGAAGCTAAGTTAAGTCAAATTAAATGAACCCAAAAGACTTTTTGGTAGGAATGGTCATTAGACATGATTTTTCCCTTCCATTGTCGTCCTTTTTTTTAGAATATTTATTTAAGGACAGGGTAGGGTATATAAAAAGTAAGGGGGAATAGGGAAAAGGGAAAAAAGGTTAGGGGGATATTGTAATTCATACTACAATAACAGATCAACTTTTTGCTTTTTCACAATTTGATTACTCTCCTGCTTTCATCTTATAATTTAATTTTAGTTTAATTCTATGTTACTCCAACACTATCTGGCAACTACAGCCATTTATACAATAGATCCCATTGTTCAGTTTTCTTTTGAATTGAACATTCTTTCAGCCCATCTGACAGGATATCCATTTTTGTCATTTCCCATATTTTCCCAATAAGTTTCTCTTGTTTCAGTATCTCTGCTTTCTTGAGATTTTTAACATAATGCTTTTTAATTTTGGAAGCTGCATAGGTCACTGGATGACTCTTTGTCCCATCTATGTTCCCTGGTGTCATGCCCAATAAAGTCGGTTCTGAAATTTGTGCAACTTCATTTAACTGTTGTTTGGCATCTAATGTCCCCTCTTTCATCACTTTCATCAGATCTTCTATTTTGCTAAGACCTTCATTCACTTGCTGAAACCCTGTTATTATTATCATTTGCATAGTAATCTGCCATTCCTGAGCTTGCACAGACCAAGTCTCCATTTGATGTCTTAAATTTTGGGGGGCCATCTCAGGCTTTCAAATAAGTGGGGTTTGTATAGATGATACTATGTCCTTAACCACAATGATCGCCCCTTAGATATCCTTCAACAGTTTCCACAATTTTATCAACAATTCAAACCCCCAATCATAACCCCCCCTTAGATCTCCCTCCAATCTTTATCCAAATATTATAATATAAAAATAAGAACGTCCCTACTTAAGAACAATCCAACTTAAGAACAGCTCCATTTGCTAAATTTTGCTTCTACTTGAGAACAGAAATCCAAGATAAGAACAGGAAAAAAACCTTTCCTGCTCTTTTTTTAACCTTAGGTCATCTTAGGTTAAAAAAAATTCTCCCCCTAGTGGTAGAGTACGTATTAACCAGCTTTGCATTAGTTCCTATGGGAACTAATGCTTCAATGTACGAACGCACCTCTACATAACAAAAAAACAGCCAGAACGGATTAATTGGTTTTCAGTCCATTCCTATGGGAAATTTTGCTTCAACTTAAGAACGTTTCAACTTAAGAACACCATTCCAAAACGGATTAAGTTCTGAAGTAGAGGTTCCACTGTAGTTTCTATGGACGGAAAAGAGCAGATACGGATTAAATGGTTTTCAATGCATTCCTATGGGAAATGCAGATTCAACATAAGAACTTTTCAACTTGAGAACCACCTTCCAATACGGATTAAGTTCTTAAGTAGAGACCCCACTGTATTCTTCTCATCCTGAGTCTAGCAAGCTACTATTATCACTCTCACACAATCCAACAAAACAACAATCAGTCTCAGATTGTCCAGTAGTTGTCCTTGAAGCCCATCTTATGATCTTTCTATTAACCCATTGATACTCCTCAGTCCAGTCGACCACGTCAGCTCCTTCTTTCTTCTCCAGAAAACCACCAGATTCTATTATCAAAAGTTCACAGAGTCCAGGAAAGGGAAAAGAGAAATACGTCCAATCCAAACTGCATTCACAAAACTCAAGTCTCTTGAATCCTCTCCGATGGTATTACCGTCTGGGATTCTTTTCCAGATACACAAGTTTTATTTTTCCATCTCACTCTCTCGGCTTTGAAACCAGCCTGCTACTGTATTAATAGTTAGTTTCGCTTTTGAGGCAGACTGATAAGATAGGCTCGCCGCTGCTTTTCTTCTTTCAGCCAAATATTTTCATTCTTATTTTCAGCTTAATGGGGCTGTTTCATAAATCAAAGGCTTGAGCTTACTTAGTCGTTATATATTTTAAGTTTATATTGGTTGTTCTCTTCTCCCCTGGTAAAGGGTTACTTACGACTCAGTGCCAAATATGGCTCCCCGCCTCTGATCCGTGCTAGGTGATTTCTTCAGAGGGAAGAAGTCCGGGTTTGCCTCCCATTCTTCTCATTCTGCTGCTCACCATCTGCTTCAGAGAGAATTCTCCTAGACTCTCCTTCGATCCCCATTTCAAAAAGGGGATCCCGGACC